ATCAAAACGACCTAGATGAATCGTTGATCGCGTCAAGAAAATTGCTGGCGGAGGCATGCAAGACTCGCTGCTCATCAAGGGTGTGGCTTTCAAAAAGACCTTCACCTATGCTGGCGCTGAGCAACAACCCAAATCTTTCCGCGACCCCCTCATCGTTTGTCTGAACGTCGAGCTCGAGCTCAAAGCCGAGAAAGACAACGCTGAGGTTCGCGTGGATGCCGTGGCCGACTACCAAGCTATCGTCAACGCGGAGTGGGAGATCATATACAGGAAACTCCAGGCCATCGAGAAGACAGGGGCGAAAGTCGTCCTCAGTAAACTCCCCATCGGCGACTTAGCAACACAGTGGTTCGCTGATCGCGATATCTTCTGTGCTGGCCGTGTTGCGGCGGGCGATCTGCGCCGGGTTGTACAGGCTACTGGCGGAGCGATCCAGTCGACGTGTACGGATATCACCCGTGAACATCTCGGGACGTGTGGGTCTTTCGAGGAGAGGCAGATTGGTGGGGAGAGGTATAACCTGTTCCAGGACTGCCCGAAATCCAAGACTTGCACGCTTGTACTCCGTGGAGGCGCGGAGCAATTCATGGAGGAGGTGGAGAGAAGTTTGCACGATGCCATCATGGTCGTTAAAAGGGCAGTGAAAAACGGCGATGTCGTCGCTGGTGGAGGCGCCGTAGAGGTCTGTGCCTCTCGCTTCCTTCCGTGCTCTACTAACCCAACCAATCATTTCAGATGGACCTCTCCGCCCACATCCGCAAACACGCCCTATCTATCCCCGGCAAACAACAACTCATCATAACCGCCTTCGCCAAGGCCTTAGAAATTATCCCTCGGCAAATCTGCGACAACGCCGGCCTCGACTCGACTGACATCCTCAACAAACTTCGAATGAAGCACGCCGCTGGGGAGACCTGGGCGGGTGTGGATGTCGATGGTGCGTCGGGGTGAGAGACAACATGGACGCGTTTGTGTGGGAGCCGTCGTTGGTGAAGATTAATGCAATCAGCAGTGCGGCGGAGGCTGCGTGCTTGATACTTAGCATCGACGAGACGGTGAGGAATCCGCAGAGTGAAGCGGTACGTGTCGACTCCATTCTCCTTCCATCCGGTTCTCTGCTCATCACAAATCACATCTTAGCAAAATCCCGGACCGAAAGCGCCGCCAGGTGCAGCCCAACGAGCTCTCCGTGGGCGTGGTAGGGGCGGGCCAAGGCGGTAAAACGTTCCTCAAGTCTTGTGTTGTTCATTACGTGCTCGTCGTATGTTTGTCTTCCCGAAAAGGAAATGCTAAAACAAAACCTCATTCCGAACTCGAATTGCGCAATGTTCTCCCGTGAGATTGAGGTACACGAATGGCGTAATAATGAGTAAAATTCTCAAGATAGAGTCTTCCTAAGCTTATAAGCTTATCCGTTCGGCAAATGCAGCTTTTTTAGGCCCACCGCTCCTCGTCCTCAGAATCCTTGCCGTTCATGACGACCTACCTTCCTGAACACCGCAGCGACTCTTCAGACGACGTGTCGGAGAAGAGCGGTCCGCTATTCAAGGATGATGGCAAGCTGAAGGAAGTTCCTCCTCTGGGCCTTCCTATAGAGACGCGTTCAACGGGACCATTTGCAAAGTGGAAGCAACCTGCGGTCGACCTCGACAGTGTTGCAACTCAGCCAAGTGTATTCGATGACCCAGTGACGCTTGAAGCCTACCGGCCACCTCCTCAAGTCTGTCGACCGGTCTATCTTCTTCCTTTAGTCACGCAAGTAAACTTGTCCAACAGTACGAGAACACCCACCGGTTTAATCCCTTGGCTCGATGGACTTGGCGAGAAGAAAAGGTGAGTTCTGTGGTTTGAATCACGCCTTGGTCTGACTGTATCTCTTAGCGCGTTGTCCGCAAAGTCGATCTGTACATCATGGTTTGGGCTTGCCTGATGTTCTTCGCGCTGGACCTGGATAGAAGTAATATATCGCAAGCCAACACGGACAACTTTTTGAACGACTTGAACATGACTACTAATGACTTCAATCTGGGAAATACGCTGTTTCGGTTGTCGTTTTTGATTGCGGGTATGGTTCCCGTCTCGTTTGCGTGTCAATGGAGTATGTATTGACATGGGCGTTAGAATTGCCATCGCAGTTGATTTCGAAAAGGATTGGGCCCGACAGATGGGTACCGATTCAGGTGATTTTCGTTTATGTGCTTTCAGGAAAGACGGTAGTTACTCATCTAAGTACTCCAGATGGTTTGTTGGAGCATTGGTGAGCTTTGTCTTAATCTGTCTGTCTGGATTAATCCTGTTCATTCTAGTCGCCTTCAGCCAATTCTGGTTGCGCGGAAGGAAAACCTTTTTGGCTACAAGGTTAATTGTTCTCGCTTTTGAAATCCTTTGACTCATTTAAGAGGTAGGTTTCTATTGGGATTGTGTGAGGGAGGTGCGGTCATTCGTTCTCAAAGTCTCTTCTTTCTGTTGACCAATACAAACAAGGATTCATCCCGGATATTGTCCTTTACCTTTCGTATTTCTACACGAAACGCGAACGTAAGAATGGTTGCTTCACGGGTCAAGTTTTTGCCTTCATGATTGCGCAGTTCCGATCCGGCTTGCTTACTTCTGGGTATCGAACTACGTCTCTCATATCGTCTCCGCCTTTCTTGCTACGGGTACGAATTGATCCCTATGTCTTCCATGTCTGATGTACGTATGTCGCTAAGGCATCCTTCGGTTGCGTGGTGTCGGAGGCAGAGCTGGCTGGCGGTACCTCTTCCTCTTGGGTTTGGATTCTCACAATCAGTGTTTGTTTCTTGGTGCTCATGTTCTTCACCTGTAGAGGGCCTCCTGACCTTGCTAATCGGTCTCGGCTCCTTCATCATGATGCCTGTGGGTGTTTTGACGCTTCGAGTGACCGCGAAGTACTGAACTTGAATTTGTGTAGCCTGGTCCTACGCAAACGAAATTGAAATTTGTGAGACCCAATGGTTGGTTCACTGAACGGTGAGGCCAATCAACTTTCTCATTTCAGAGTCTTGACGATCCCATAGCGAGGAAACGATTATGGTTAACCGGTAGATTCAGCTACATGTTGGTGTTGGCGCTGTCCTCGGCTGAAGCAGTAATGCAGCGTGTTGAGAGACGACCCATCGAAATCGGATATGCACAACAGAGAAGGTTTGTCGCCTCGCAAGATTTCGACGCGTTGAGAGATTGGCGAATGTGGCCGATATATTGTCTTGGTCTTGTTCACATGAGTGGGTTTCAGTTCGTGATGAACATCATTTGTGTCTGACTTGACACAGTTCCAACCGGACCTCCTCAAGTATACCCTTTCAATCTACAAACTCTTGGGCTTGTACTGACCATCAAACACCAAGATCTATCTGACGCTCTCGCTGAAGAATTTGGGCTTCAACACCACGCAGTCCAATCTACTCGTCATTCCATCCACGGAGTCGGGCTGCTCATGCTTCTTTTTGCGGCATATTTCAGCGAGATCGTCAACAGCCGTGTTGCCGCTACAATCATCCTCCAATTATGGGCCCTCCCACTTCTGATTACCCTGTACACATTCAACAAGTCGACATCACAATGGGTCTACTATGCGGTCATTACACTTGTAACTGGGTTTCCTGTGAGTGTATCCTACATTCATGCCAGACCGTCGGTGTTGATGGGCTTGACTAGTATGTGCATCCAGTACAAGTTGCTTGGGCATCGAGAAATTCGTATTCTGTACGAACGCGTACGATTTCCGCGAGCATGTATAATATGTGAGTTTGCTTCCTGAATGCCATTCACGTCTAATATCTTGGTGCAGCTGTGTTCAAGCAGGTGCAATTATCTATGTCGGTGGATTGCGTCTTCAGTTAATCCCAATGTCCAACCGTTTGACAGGCAAACATATATAGGACAGATGATAAAGTCAGTTTGTTTCCCTGTTCGCAAACTACACACTTACAGACGAGACAATGAATCTAGCCACTCTGTATGCGACACTTTTGAGTTTGTACGTGACATTGAATGCTGACCTTCGTTGGCAGATAAGCGAGGCAACAGAACCTTAATTGGTATCTGCTCAATGAACATAACACTCTACATCTTGACTTTCTTCTTCTACCGCACCCTCAACAAGGCCCGAGACAGGAAGTGGAATTCGTGGTCGAAGAAGGTAAGTATGACCCGAGGGTTTATGACGTCCTCTAAACTGAAATGGTGTAGGAGCAATTGGAGTATATCGAGACGACGAAGGATGTTGGGAACCAGCGTTTAGATTTCCGGTTTGCTTACTGAGAGTTTTAGTACTCCAGCGTCATTACGTTTGTATCTCATGGGCGCTCGCTGGCAACTGTAAATAGTATGTGCATTTGATGTGCATTTTGAACTTGAAGACGCGGATCCGTCACGTCAACGGAGGCTTGCCCGTCTCCCGCGCGCTTTCATGTTGTAGTTTCGATGCTTACGACAGTCGTCTCGTATTGTGCTCCCACGAAGATCCAAGCGTCGTGCTGGCTTTCTGAGTTCACTACATCCTGCCAGTTGGAGTGTGGGAATTACTTACCGGATCCAGGCTGCATCAATCATTACCAGAACAGCGCACAACACCACTACGCTTCGCATCCGTATATGGTAATTTTGACCTCTGGCTCTGGGTGGAGCTACCTGCGGCTCCTGGGTAGCAATTTACCTCCTAGTATGCTTATAGCTATAAAAATATTGAGGGGGAAACACATTTACGCCTCCATTCCTCGTTACTATCCCGGAAAGTGACTTTTCGTGCCACACATGTCTTGTGGTATTCTGTTGTGTTTATATTCGTCTTCTGACGCTCATCTACGCTCTTAAGCGGTGTCCATAGTTGTGAGCTATTGTGATATAAACGAGTTATGCTAGTGAGTCTTTTCCGGTTTTCTCGCTCATTTTTGATTCGATCTTCTCCGTTCTTGGACCAAACTGATTCTTTCTCTTGGGCCATCCTACTATATGCTCCAGATCTCCACCTTAACAATGCTTTCGTGGTGTAGCGGTAACATTGGGTCTTCCCATCCCCTGGAAACGTGTTTCTTCTCTTAACCTTAAGAAACGCGTATCTTGGTTGGCCTAGCTCCGGGTTCGACTCCCGGCGGACGCATGTAATAGCAGGATCGCTTTTAGTCTTTTTTTCGCCAGTTGAGCGGCAGAATCGCACGCGTTGAATCTTCCCAGCTCTTTCCCGAACACCGCGGCCTAAGCCAAACACTACACAACAATGCTACGCTTCGCATCCGAAAATGGTAATTTTGGCCTCTGACTCTGGCTGCACCCAACTGCGACTCCTGGGCAACGATATACCTCCTAGTATACTTGTACCGTTTGAAATAATGAGGGGGGAAATGACTTTGGGCCTTCATTCCTTATTAACAGCCTGGAAACCCATTTTTCGTGCCAAACATGTCTTGTGGTATTCTGGTGTGTATCTCTTCCTCTTCAGCCGTCATAAGCTCCTTGGGCCGGCGTATATTTGCCGTGAAAAGTGTGTAATACCAGTGGCTCTTTGCGGGTTTCCTCGCTTGTTTTTTATTTGATCGTCTCCGTTCTTGTTCCTCTACCTCTCTCTGCCTCCCCTCATCAACCCCCAACCCAAACAACCGTAAAACGCGGTCCTTCTCTACACTATGAGACGGCATCTATTCGCTGTGACAATTGCGGCATACATGTGGGTCTTTGCAGGTCTTTATCGGTGTTCTCGCTCACTTTTGATTCGATCTTCGCCGTTCTTCTTCCTCTCTCTGCACATACTGTCCCCCAATCCAAACAACCGTAAAACGCGGTACACATGAATGCTCTGGAACATTGTTTGTGACAAACTCATCATTTTGGGTTATCTCACTCAATTTTGATTCAATCCTTCCCGTTCTTCTTTCTGCAACCTTCACCCATCAACCCCCAATCCAAATAACCGTAAAACGCGAAGGCGAGATGGCCGAGCGGTCTAAGGCGCCAGACTAAGGATCCGCTTCATCTGAAGCACAACTTGCAGACTTGATCGTTTGTAATCTGGTCCTCCGGGGCGTGGGTTCGAATCCCACTCTCGTCACTACCCTTTTTTGCTGCGTTTCATGACATATTCCCGGTCGTTCATGTCCGCGTTTTAGCCCCCTCGATGCCAAGACGTTGTAAGAACAGGCGCGCTCCACCACTTTTTCGATCTCAAGTCCTCCCACGTCCTCCCAATCTTCAAGGCTCTCTAGCTTGTTTTTCCTCTCTAGCATTATAGTTCCTTGTCAGAGCCCAATATCTCTACTTATCAATCGAGTCCTTGCAAAGAAGCCCCGGTTATCTTGGCTTTGCCAGTGGACCTTGTCTCTGAGGTCTTCCTACACTCCATGTAATGACTGAAATCCCTCGCATCGATCCAGTACGAGATTATATGTATGTATCATAATGTGCAATTGCAGTCTCACTACTCGAAAGTTTTCGGAAACACAGGTCCGCTGTTCCACCCCATAACATGGTGCCATAAACTTAACTGATTGCCCGACTTACAAGGCCGTATCGATAACTTGGTGTGGTCAGCATAGCGCAGGATATAACCACGAAGGCGGAATGGCATGAGGCGTCAACTGGACTTTAACATTCAACGCGGTCACGGTCAACGTCCGCTTTGGGTGGAGTCTTGGAAGATACGTTCTGCCCAGGAGATTGGCCCACAATACCTATGCCGCGTAATCCAACCAGTGCGGAAACAAAGCCCAGCACAGAGATCGCGCAACATGTCCAGCCTGCAGCACGAAAGCCAGCCATCAAAACGTCGGGAGAATTCAGGGGGAGATCGGGATGTCTGCGCTGGAATTTCTGGGATATAGAGGTGGCTACGCTTGAGCTGACAGCGAGACCCAATGAGGTGCCCAGCTGCTCGGATTTGCACGTCAGATTATTACGAAGGGTTCTTGGGAAAGTTTCACAAGACATACGCGACTGGCAACATTGAACAAGCCTCCTACACGGTTGGATAAGTCATGATGCATGATGGAGTTCAGGTTGAGGTCGACATACCGGCGAGGGACTGGCTATCTTCGTCAAAAACTGATGCGAGGTGCAGGTTCCCGACTGGGTAGACGACGTCGGCACCGACTGAGGATACAAGAATTATTTCGTGGAATGTGCGAGTTCGGGCAATGACGAACCAATGAATAGCATTACGAGGAACGCCGTACTCCAATAAGAGCCGTGGATGTCCATTACAGCGAATATTAGGGGAGCAACCTGCGATGAACTGTTGGAAGATATATCGGCGGCAATTCAAACGAGGCGTACGATGCTTCCCAGAGCTCCTACGATTATCAACTGTTGTCCCGGGATACGATTCATAACATATCCAGTAACAATGTTGACTATGACACCCGCTGCAGTCATCGGGACGAATCGAACTTTACAATTCATGAGCATCCTGACATTCGAAAGAACCAACGGTCAAGATCTTACGAGCGGTTTGCAAAGGATTCAACAAGATTACTTGCTGGTAGCTGCGGATACGGTAAGAACAATGACATCTCAGTAGATCCGGGTCGCACTATAGAGTCATCAAGTAAGCGAGCGTGTTGAAGCCTGTGTTGAGCCATTTTGTAAATGACTTTCTTGGATGAAGACGGGAATTCAGCTCACTCCACCAAGCAAAGAACTGTATGGCCATAATACTCGTCATTCTGGCAGCCGGTTGCTTCCACATGCTTATTGGAAGCAAAACGGACTGACCCCGAATTTCTCGGCGCCGTTCATAGAGTACGAAGACGATTAGGATGGCGATCGATCCCGCGAATAAGCTGGGAATCTGAGGTGTTGCCCATCCTCTTCGCGCGGTGGTGGAAGCACTGTGTACATGTCAAATCGGATGGTGCATGGACCACATATTGCATGTACTCACGCTAGGCTATAAGTGAGGAGGCCGATACCTATACAACTGAGAAGTGCTCCGCCCCAGTCGATACCCTTGTTATACTGCGGAGCGGATGGCACTTTGCTCAGACAGAAGAACCCGAGCAATACAAACAAGAGTCCGAGGCCCGATTGGATGTAGAAAACGGCCCTCCAAGTGGCCTTACTTTCTGCCAGAATTCCACCTGAATCCGGGGGAATCAATTTCTGTTGAAATGCTCGTACTCGGATTACCTACCGAAAATCAGTCCCAGGATGAACCCGAGAGGTTGACCCGCTCCCAGGACGCCATATGCTTTATTACGCTTCCCACCTGAACTAACAATGAGTGCTTATACGTGAAGTTTTCGTTTTGACTGACCTGGAGGAAAGAAGGCGGCAAATAGTCCGAGACCGCTTGGCGTGTTTGCAGCGGCGCCGAGGCCCATCGCAGCTACGAACGCGATGAACACCTCAGATCGTGGAGCGAAAGCGGTCGCCAAACTCCTGCAGGTCGAGTTACGCAAGCGGTTAACATCGAGTATAAAAAATCCTAACCAGACGGAGAACCAGATGGAGCCGACTAAAAACATGAAACGGCCGCCGATGATATCACTGAGTCGTCCAAAGAAAAGCAAGAAACATCCATAAGAAAGACTGTAGTGGTGTTTGAATTCTTGTCAACAATCCGGGTGGAATGACTTGCGCGTAAACATTGAGTGGCCACTGCAGATCGGATTGCTTGAAATGCAAATCTCTTCCAATGGTCGGAAGAGCGACTGTCAGGGCACCGGAGAGGAAGACCTTTGGGACAGACCCGCTTGAGATGACAACCGCCGGATAAACAAACGCGCATACATTGAGAGTGGTCACCCCAGAAACAGATGCAATGAGAACGAGGTCCGTGAGCTCCAGAGTCTCGGGCGACGAAGACATCGTGTTGATGAGGGCATGTAAAGGCGAGCCTTCCCCTTCTTAATGCTCTGACTTCTCCCGAAGAAAAATATAGTGCCCGTCGTGAGACGAATTAGAGAGCCGAATACTAGAATTACAGCTGTGAGGCGGGAAGTCTATTGTAGTCGTTGTGTAGGGATTTCATAGTGTTTCCCCGAAGGCGATATTCATTCAAGAATTCAATGGCAGAGGAATTGCGACGTAGTGTAGTCAGTGGCGGCCATAGTAGATTCAGTCGCATCGAGCGGCGATTGAGGTGGATTGTTGGACTTGTAACTGAGGGGCATATTGGGAGTATTCGGCAAGGTATTCGAGGTCGAACGGTGAAGGAGCTTGAGGCGTGGGAAAGAATTATGTTCGTTTGATTTGACCAACCATTCAATGTTCATGGTCATCGGCCCCAAGGCATACGTGTAACCAGTCTATCTGCAGCCTCATGCATCTCTCAACATATTTTTCGGTAAACCTGCCGTTCACCACTAATAATTGTCATCCCGCCGGTTGTCTTGTTTCTGTCTGCAACTTGAACTTTATCCAGCCATTTGTTCAAGCTTTCAAGGGTTGAACCGACAAGATCGAAAAGAGATTTCAGTCTCTTGCCGTAAGTTTCTTTGCCTCGATGTATACTTAGTCTGCGGGGAGCGCAAGACGCCACAATCTATGCATCTTAAGATCAAGACGAAATCATGTCTCCTTGCGCGGAGGTTGTCTGTAGGTATACCGAACTCTCTAACTAGCTCACTGCTGCAACGGTCAACCAGGAACGGTCCCAATGAAAACTTCATCGAATTGGGCCCAGGTACCCATCCCGTGTATTTACCCATTGCCGTGCTCTGTCCGGAGTAACCGAATATTCTGAACTCTTGCCCGCGCGCAAACGTGGCTGTAGAGCCGCAAATTCGCTTCCCAACACAATTTTCGCTTCATTTTCAATGAGGTATTCATTGGCGATGGTGAGAACCCGTCTGGAATCACTCCGATCCCGCTCCGCGCCCTTTAAAATCGCGCGTACTGGGATTTTTCAAATCGCAATACTCATCTCATGAACATGACCTCTGCACCCAAAGCTGTGGTTGTTGGCGCCGGTCCTGTTGGCTGTCTCTCTGCAATTGCGCTCGCAAAGCTGGGCTGGGACGTGGTCGTCTACGAACGACGCGCGGGTACCTTGCCCCTGCTGTTTGTATTCCGAGCCATAACTTACTTTTGGTTTTAGATATACGCGCAGATTCACTGCAGGCCTCGTCTTGCGAGATTCCAGCAAGGATTCCTCGACCGCGTTCCATA